ATGAAGCCCATGGGGAAGTGATGGGGAATGTGCCTGTGATTATCAGGAAGCTTTCCATGGATCAGTTATCTGTTAGCTGATCAGACACATTTTTTTTTAGGATCAGTGGGTATTTCAACAGCATTATCTTCGTGTATGAAGTTTATTCTTCAAAGGCTACTTAGTCCGCTGTGTGTTTGATTTACCGTACAATATCTCATGTTTTGTCAGAAGTTTTTTTCTATTATTTACTAGTAGGGCAGCGTGGACATTACTGGCTTTTTAATATTTGTTATTGAATTGTCTGCAGCAGCTCTTGTATAACTGGTGTAGACTGGATTCCTTCAATAATTCCACTACTAAGAAAGTGATGTCAGTGATTGTGAGCAACAGAGCTTCATAAATTCTGACTCTAGCGATGATGAGTTCTATGGGTTCAACGAAAACTAGAAGAGTACTCGAACTTTAAAGTCTCTCTTTTGTTAATGACAGTAATGATGGTTCTTAATGCCACTGTTGACTGCTGTTCAATTTACAAGGTTGAAATACAGTATTACTGTATTCTGTTATAGTTTATTAAATAGTTTAGTAAACCATGATTCAGAATATTTTTTTTCTTGTTTTCCTCCTCTAAAAACTAGGTGAGTCTTATGGTCAGGTGTGTCTTATAGAGCGAAAAATACGGTAATTGCAGCATTAGGGAAAGCAATACAGCATTTTAGATTAAATGACTTTAATCCCCTTATTTCAGAATTGCTAGGTCATTCTTTTTATAGGAATAGATTCAAAGTTTAAAAGTCATTAGCACAAGATAAGGGCCTTTCATCTCCAATTAAACTAGTAACAAGTTATTAGTGCTACATAAAATGATACAAAATCAAAATGTTCATTTTAAAAACATTATTTTGATTATAAAATATTTTGTTATTTAACATTACAAGATTTTTCAGCATAAAAAGGGAATGAAGGCTTGGATATATGTTCCTTTAAGGAGCTCAGAGGAGTGTACATGGATTACCCCATTTTAATTAATGTTTCCAATATGCCAGATTTATATGCTGGCCTACAATAATCATAGTAATTCTACAAAGATGTTGAAAATTTACTTTGCAAGCTAAAAATGTCAATAATATTTTAGTCTTTGGAAAAAAAACCAGCCTCTATAGAACATTCAAGATCAAATTCAGTTAAAGGATTCAAATGACATAATATGCAACACTTGTATATTGCTTTTATAAAAGCTACTCTCAATCTTTCTAGTGTTTGCCTAGTCAGCATTTACTTTCAATTCCAAAAACAGCATTTGGATTAAGATACAGCACTGCCAAAGTGCTTTACTGTTCACACTTGGCTGTTTACTGGCTAGTGCAAAATGACCAACTTATGAGCAACAGTTTTCAAAGTGGATGCCTAAACAGTCAATTATCACAGATGACTAATGAGGGCATTCTCATTTTAAGCCTCCAGATTTGACAATCAGAACTAACCACACAACCCTCATATCCTAACAAGGATTGTTTGCCTAGGTTTGAAAACTGGAGCTGAGCCCTGAAATGCTCATAACCTTCAAGAATTACCTGCCACTTTCTAGTTGTAACTCTGTTCAGAGCCCTTTATTTAAATAAGGAAGTGACAAGTGTGTGAATTATCACACACTTGGAACAATGTCATTAAAAATTTTTCTAAATGCCAACTTGCAGCAGTTCTCTAGTAATACATTCATCCTTTAAAACTAACACTACAACACGTATCACCTTCCAGCACAAAATACTTCACCAAACTAATTTGCTTGCTTTGATTTTCCAAAAAAGAATGGCTTATTTCTCTTATATGCCTAATATCACAAACAGGAACAGCAACACCTCCACTATCCTCCTACCTGTTTCGAGGCTAGTTAAACTACTTACTTACTCACAATTCCTTCTGTTACCTTTTCTTGCTTGCCCTTTGGTTATTTTATTGCAGTTCCTATGCCTTAGTTCAAACAATGTATCTTCACTGGTTAATTCTATATTCTTCTTGATGTTTCTGATTAATTACAAGTTCTCAATTTGAGATACTTTTTGCCCTCTAAATGTGGTATGGCTTCATTTTAGGCAACCATGTTTGAAAACTGTAGCTGAACATTGCAGGTCGTAAAAGGTATGGCTAAGGGGTGAGTGGCAACTTACCAGGTTTCAGGTAAGACCCATATATACCAAGTCTAAAAAATTTATGAGAATAATTAAACTGAAGATAGATTTATTTTAAAAAGCAAGACCATTTGTTGAATACCTTAAAAAGATATAAGAGGGTTTAACTCTGTTGAGTTTCAATATTAGCCGATTCATTAAATGGAAACCAAAGGGTTAAACAAGCAGTCAACTACACTAAAAGAAAGTTTATACTTCAGATCAAGATATAAAACACTATTTAAATAATAAAACTAGCTGCAAGAGAAAATGCTAATGTCATTTATATTACTATAAGCCATATAGCTTATACTCAACAGTTCTAGTGAAAAGTGCATCCAATTTGTCCATGCGGTATGTTGTCATTGTTTGTGAGATTTTTCTGGGTATTTTGTAGGACATAAAACCTTTAAAGAAAAAAGTTAAAATACAAGAACAGAACAGAACTACCAAAAACTACTAAGCATGCATGCCTAAAATCCTATTCTGACAAGTTAACTAGATGATGTCATAAAGAAAGCTATAAGTTATCAAAAAATTTATAGTTTATTTTCAAAAGTGGAATTAATGCTATTAACTAAAATACATTCAGTGTTTCATGTATAAACACTGACATCATGTTAGGCTTCACTTTCATGTACACTTATATGATAGTAAATCCAATCAAATACAATAGGACTTACTTATGAGTAATCATAAATATGATTACACTGAAAATGCTTAATATTACAGGACATGTTAAAGCACTTAATAGAATTCAACATGTCTCAGTAAGTTGCTCACTGTTCTGCTTTCTTTTTTTAGTTAATATCTGTGTTTACTTCTCTATGTTAGTTAACTAGACATACAACTACAAAAAATATCCCCAAGCCTCACTTACTCTATTTGAGCTCCATGAGCCACAAGAGCACTTATAGACTCCATACTACCAGAACGGGCTGCTTTGTGAATAGGAGTTTCACCAACATAATCCTAGAGGGGAAAATATAACAAGTTAATACCAACTATGTATGACATGAATTAAGGACTTTTGGACTGATAACAGCAGATGTGTAATGACAGAAAGCATTAGTAAAGAGACATAATCACAATAATTGGCCAAGGGCGGGAAGGACATTGATCATAAACCACCATGGATGATTTGCAGTGAAACACCAAGGGTTCTTGGCTATATGTCACCCACCATCAACTGAGACTATATACCCTCTCCCATTTTAGCATGCAAATACAGATTGAATTTGCATTCACTAAATGTCATTTCCTCTGCTCACCCATTCCTTATACCAGCATTCTTGTTTTCTATTTCTTGTGGTGACACTTTGCAGTATTCTGTTTAAGCATAACTAATCATTTAGTTTATTTTCATAAGGTAGATCCATTAATAAACAGTAATCCTATGCACAGTTCTATTAAAGCTTGCCTTCAGTGATCATTCTGTCTTAGCCTTAGCACTTCTTACTTGCAAAATGGAAATATTAATTGGCTGCCTTTGATCAGGTCTTTACATTAGTCACCTGGTATATTTTATGGTGTTTAATGTAGATGTGGGTATGTACATACCAGCATTCCTTGCTGCATTTATAAGAACTAGACTAAAACCAGATGAATCAACAGCAATCTCAGGCAGTGATTTAGAGCATATATTTTATGGCAGCAGACCTACAAGCAGATCTGCTAAACGGTCATGGATAAGCAGCAGCCTTTTTGGGATTCAAGGGCAGGGATGAAGCCTATATGCAAATAAGTGACTCAGGGTCCCCTGCTGATTGGTGGTTTCAGCTAAGTTTCAGAAAATGGGAGAAGGCATCTTTGCCATCAGCTAACAACTCTGTTTCCTTCTGTGTCCCATTCCCCCCCACCCCCCGCCCCGCCGAGTCTGGAACCAGCCTGGGACCAGAAGAGGCCACCTCACACGAGTGTAAAGTCTGAATGCAATCAATCTGGACTAGCAGTTATGGTATGAATAATAAATATGGAACTACCACTACAGGAAACCTGGGATTTGAAGAGGTAGCACTTTGACAATCAGAATGGACAGTCAAGCAATTTTATAACTTCTGTATAAGGCAATATTCTTTCCTTCCACTTCAGGTATATTAGTTAATTCAATGCTATTATAATACTGGGAATAAGTTGACTAAACAAATACATATATTCTACTCAGATTTCAGTGTTTTAAATAGGAAGAGATCCTTAATATATGCCTTAATTACCATCCCCCAAATCCCAAGCATTAAGGCAGTTTAATAACTATAGCACTGTTATTTGCTAACATCTATACAACTAAGCTTTTTAAAAGAAAAAAATTCAAAGCTGATACCTGTTTGTTTATGTTAGCTCCCGACTGAATTAACCAGATGAGACACTGAGGATGTCCTCCAAAAGCAGCGATATGGGCTGGTGTTTGGGCAAATCGTGTTGTACAGGCATTTACAGAAGCTCCCACTCTTACTAACTGCATTAAGCAGTCCAGCTTTAAAAGAAAACAAGAAGAGATGGGGGAACATGTTTAATTAACCAAATATTACATATATCAGCTTCAAGTACTAGTATTCTTGGCCAATGATGGCTCACTAGAAAGTCATTCAATAACCTAGTTCAGATGTATAGAAATGTCATGGTTTGTCATTGTAAGAATAAATGTCAGGCTTGCACATTCCTCCTTTCCATCCTCCTCCACATACAAGGTGAGAATTAACAATTTTGAACTAGTCACAGTTTCTTCAGTATGTCTGAACTCTGATAATTGTGGTTGATTACTGTTCTGGTTTACAATTAGAATGGACTAATATTAATAGTTAAGATGTAAGAAAGACCAGAGGTATTGGAAGAAATGTATGCAATATTTGATCAAACCCAATCTTATTTTACTGCTTTAACAAGAAGCAACTTGTATAACCAAGCAAGCATATAAACCTATACTATCTGGCATAATTACAAACTTGTGCTTGTTTACTTAGAAACCCAATTCTGTTCAGTGGAGCTTGATTATTTACTTACAAGTATGAGAGCATAGAGTGCAGCCTGAGGTAGAAATGCTTTCATTTTCTAGCAGGGTATCTGTGTCACAATAATCTGAGGTAAGAAACAGTCAACCAATATGAAATACCAGTTCAAAAGGGCAGCAGATGAATGATACTTGCTTCAAATATCTCTAATTTAGATCAGAAATCACCAGAAGGTAGCAAGTAACAATGAATGCTGTATTTGCTCCTTTTTTGAAAATGGTTTATTATTAGATTTATATCCTGCTTCGTTCTTACAAAGAACTCAAAGTGACTTACATAATTCTCCTTCTCCTGTTCTCAATATTACAATCACAACAACCCTGAGAGGTAGACTGGGCTGAGAGTCTGTGCCTGGCCCAAAGTCACCCAATTGGCTCCATGGCTGAGCGGGGACTAGAACCCAGATCGTCCGAGCCCCAGTCCCACACTCTTAACCACTACACCACACTGGCTCTTAAGTGTGCTGAAGTGCATCATGCAGTTGAGTACTGTATGTTACAGCATGCACAAAGAATCATTCTTTGCAACTACACGTATCTTGCATAAAAATATTCCTATTACGTATTTGTCTTGTCATAAAACATTTCATTCATTCTGAACATAGAAAATACTTCACAGGAGTTAGGGTTCCCCAGAATTCTAATTTTTGAAAAATGGAAGAATACCTCCAGATGCCATTTTCCCCCACAGGAACTTCACTTGTCTTTTTATCTCCCCTCACACACTTGCAAATGAAGAATGGAAAGTGGGAACTGTCTATATTGGAAACTCATGCAAGCCTAGTTTCATTATGTTTGGACTTGTATCATGTAATTTGAAAGTTCACAGCCTGAAACACAATAGTTTTATGGCTTACCCTTTAGACTTCTTTATGAACCTCAGTATTCAAATTCTAAAGTCCTCCAAACCCTTTACCATCCAGCTACTAAACCTGCTTTATCCCACTTAACATTCAGCTGTTGCCCACACGTTTGACTTACAGCAAACAAAAGACAAGTGAGAGGAACCTGACATCTCCCACTGAAGTGTCACTATGAGTGTTGGATAACACTCAACCCTCCACTATGTTTACCAGCTGTTACATGTGGACATACTACTCTAATAGAATCTTACAGTTTCAGATGTTCAGATTAGTTAATACATATCTGTATATTACAGTAACAACATATCTACTTCAAAAGCCAACCCCCCATGCACTATCATACTAAATTATACTGAACACATTGGGTCTATCTGCACACAACAAAAAACCAGGCTTCTGAAGTATCCTGGTTTTATGAACTGCATTCTTAGGTATGCTGCCCAATCAGTAACACTTGCCTTCTCCAAGCAAGGCACGGATCCTTTGTCTACAGCCTATTGTGACACAGAAGTTGGGATCGATTCATTCCATTTTTTCCCCTTAATATTTCAGGACAGTCCAGCCAACATTCCAAAATTCCAACTGCCAAAAACTGCATGATTACTAGAGATACAAGGGAGGCTTTAAAAAAAAACTTCATTCCTGGTCATATGTTCTGCAAGAGTAATCCAAATAGCAGTGAACCAAGCACAGTATTTCTGTGCCCCCACCCTCAGATTTAGTTCATAAAAGACAATGAGGAACTCTGAACATAAATGAAGTTTCCATGGGGACATTGAAACATTTTGTGGCCCATTTACCAATTATTTAACTTTACCTGGAAGTGCTAAAATGCATTTTATATCCAGCTAGCCTAAAGAGATGTGTTTGTTTTTGGCCATAGCCAAACTAATTCTTACTCCTTTTACGGCCGTGATGTCAAATATGTGGTCTTCCATAATCCCTCACCAGTGGCTATTCTAGTTAGTCCCGACAGGAGTTGTAGTCTGCCAACCTATGTAGGGTGACAAGTTCTCCACTCTTGCGTTAAAGGATTATTTAAGGATTAAAGCAAACAAAAACAAAACATAGAGAAAAAATATTGAAGAACATTTCAAATTATAGTTCACACCAAGACATCACATATTAGAATGATTGGCTGTCAAAGATAGTACTGTATTTTGATATATTTAAACCTTAGCAATGTTTATAGATTTATATGTTCTCTAGTAGTTTAAAAATTGAACTTCTTTTATACACTGGTTTTTGCCTAATAGAAAAGCAGTTTAAAAGATTAAACAAAATATTTAATACCAACCATGTCTATTTAAGTATATTAGACCTTCTCTTTCCCATACCCCTCTACTACGTTTATCAGCTATTACATGCCACTGGGAATAAATGATTAACTTTGAATTCAGTTCATGGAAATATAACATTCTGTTTTCACATTGCTTGTATTATTATGGAGGTTGAAAATCAAGAAGCTGTAGTCTTAGGGCAATTCTCTATCAATTTTGTTTGTTCATTTAGACTGGCCTAACTGTCTGCTGTGCATCTGTGACTACAACATGGTAACTTCTAGAAACCCTAATTTGTAGTTGTCCAGAGATGGAGCTGTCTACCAGTTTGCTGTGCCTAGGTTCCTTAAGGAATGTAGAGGGAAAAAAGAGGGTGAATGTCTTTTACCTCAGGTAATACAAATTCTCACTTAGGTCAACTGGGAATTTTAGTTCTTTTTCTGTTTAAACTTGCATACAATTGTGCATTAAATGCAATGTATCACTTCGCCAATTCTAGACAGCAAACCAATTCTGTATTCTCCATGGTACAACCTTTCCAACAGGTTGGTATCATTCATTCGCTGCAGTTGATAGTACAATATAACATACAAGCTTCCATTATTACCCTATTCTAGCATTCAGCAAGATGGTATCTGCAAATGTGCTGGACTACAACTCCCACCATTCTTTAATCAGCATCGTATCAGTCCATATCCGCCCTCCTGCCCCTTGAGATTGGTGACAGATGCCCATCTCTGCCAACCCTCTGTGAAAGATATTAGGAGGGTGAATACCCAGAGGGTCTTCTCTGCGGTGGCGCCCAACTTATGGAATGCGCTCCCCAGAGAGGTCCGCCTGGCGCCGTCGTTATTTGCTTTTCAGCGCCAGGCCATTTATTTAAATATTTAATTTAAATATTTAAAGTTATTTAAACATTATTTTAATTGCTGATTTTATTTATTTTTATATTTATGCCAGGATGTTTCCAGTTTTTTATGTATTTATTTGGTTGTGTTGGAAGCCGCCCCAAGGCTTTTGCGAATGGGGTGGCATATGAGACTTCCAAATAAATAAATAAATCACTAGATGGGGATAAGAGTTGTAGTTCAACATATTTTGAGGACACCAAGTTGGAGAAGTTTGCATTATACATAAACTGAAGCAATGCAAAGGGAGTTATAGGAGAAGGGTGGACAGTAGAGTAATATTTAGCTTTTACACAATGCTTCTTCAAAATAAACCATGTTATATCATCAAAATAACAAACTAATTTTAATCAAGTTTAAATCAAGATATATCTCAGACAGAAACACATTTGTTTCCAGTTATATAGCACCTTTATGACAGCTGGGCAGCAATAGATTTCTGGATGTTTTAGACTTCAGCATTGTGGATCACTGGCTTGCTGGCAGGCGCCACTTCTACTTTATATTAGGCAAGGGAAGTGGAGATCCACCAAGCTTTTATGCCGAGTATTCTTTTTGATGTAAAAATTAGCAGATTTTTGTATGCATGCAATCAAGCCATTCATGTAAATACTGCACAGGTCTTTCCTGCACAGCAAAAAAAAAAAAAAATCCCTACTAGCTAATGAACAGGTAATACGTTTCCTTAAAAGGGGAATGCTGAAATTATAAACAACCATAATTGTTATGAGCAGTTACAGAACTGAAACTACTACGAGATCACTCAAGAGGATCGACTCCCACAAAACACAGTATGGTATGACTTGAATCCAATCTAGGAAACTGCTGTAGTGCACCTTACCTCTTTAAGAATGTTCCTGTTTTAACCATAAGCAGCTTAGTTCCACTCTGCCACCTCCCTGAAACTTTCTTTGATCACAAAGTGCAGATTTCTCTTCAACTAGTCATTGTTTCACAATCTTTTGATTGAAGTTTGACTCCATTATATCTTATCTTGCTGATTTGGGTTAATAGTTTAAAAATTGTAAATGTAGTCTTGTTTGTAATAGGGTTGTAATAAGATTTACCTTTATTCAAAATTATTTTTAGAAACGGAAATGTATAAGCTTATAAACTTGCCAGGGAGGTGCACCTGGCACTGATCCCTTACTTATTTTGGTACCAGGATGAAACCTTTTTATTTTCCTGGCATTTTGTTAAATGGTACTGCATTTTAAACTGCTTTTTATCCTATTGGCACAGCATAATTTGGTTTTATTATAGTATTATACATTATTACTATTTATGGTTAGTAATGTTGTGAGCTGGAGCCTGGGGTCGGACTAGATGGCCCAGGAGACCCCTTCTGACCTGCTGTTTCTATGTTATTGTTGGTAGCTGTGATATAGTGTATATTTTGTTTTTAGACTGTTTTAATGTACATACTGTTCTGAGAGCTGTTGCTAATTGAACAATGCATAAAAAGCCATTAAAAAACAAAGAAGACCGGTTGAAAACTGTTTTTATTCACTCTAGATTTAAGAAAGCAATTTAACAAAAATACACAAATCTCCATCTAACAAAAGATAATAATTTTATTTCCATCCTCTTAAATATAAAAATTGTAGGCACATTTTGCTTTGGAATGCAACTGACCTCGTTGCCAATTGACAGAATTAGATTGCAAATACAATCACAAAGAACTTCTTGGCATGCTGGTCTTAAAGGCTAAGAGTGCTGCATACTGTTTATTTCCTCTGTCCTAATAATATCCTGGGGTTTCATCTTTTTGGCAAAGCTAAGGATGATGACAGAATGAGGGATCAGCAAACATTATGAGTAGAAGAAAGGAAACATGAGCAGCAATAGTTCATGGATAGGAATTTGGCAAACTGTCAGCTTATGAAGTTGTCTGCACTTGCTTACCTGACAAGAGAGTATATATTTATTATTTATTAAAAACATTTATATACATTTGATTAGCATATTTTCAAAACAGTTTGCACAATGTATGTGAGAAATTATTTGTAAGCACTCTATTCAAGTATGAAAAACATCTAAAATGACTACATTATGGTATCAAAAGTTCAATCAAATATAAACAGATTGTTGCTTGGGTCACATTTGGCTTACTAAGCATTGCAAATTTCAGTATCCTTAAGTTATGTGATTATAGCTAATGAGACTAACAAAAAGCAATAATTCAGACAACAACCCTATATCCAGTCTGAGAGTAAATCCCACTGAATTCATTGGGCTTACTTCTGCGTTAATGTGCTTAGAATTACACTGTAAGTGGAATACTGTTTCGTATGTCTAGTGCTCTTTTTCTTTTGAATGTGAAGCTTTTTTATTCTAATGTGTGTGTTTTAATTATTAAACAAACAGGTTTTATTTATGCACATGGTTTGCCTTGAGTGCCAGTTTTCTTGGCAGAAAGGTAGGGTACAAAGCAAATAAAGGTGGCATGCTTGAGATTCTTAGTAGTATCACTTAATTTCAGCAAGCATAGTGCATCATGCATTTTCAATTCATGCTTGGACAAGTTATATAAGCTTAAAATTAAAACATGACAGAAATATGCTTGAGGGAATGGATTTTCTATTAACATAATGGGAACCAAAATGTAATTGGCAAGCCAAACTCAAAATTACAGTGAACTACTTCTGTAAAAGAAAGTAATAAGCAATTAATACCAAAAGTTGCTAAGTCTTTGCAAGACAGAGGCAAAACTAATCAGTAAATAAAACCTGCCCTTCAAATACAGAAGCACTATTAAATATTGTGTAAATGTTAAGCAGCAATTGAGTTTTAAGTTGATATAAAGCTTCTTGCAAGTAATTGAACTAAAAGAAAAAAGATAGGTTCCATATGGTACATGCAGAAAAAAGTGGTTGAACAAATACTTATTACTTTAACTGTGATTCACTATCAAAGGACTTTTCCCTGAAAGATTTATTGTTGCTAAATACAAGGCAGAGGCCACCTTGTTATTTGAGCATGGTTTCTTCCAGCACTTAATACTGTTGCCATTAACAGATCAAAATAATGAACTGCCTACAAGTGCATACAGGGGGGTTGAATGTCAAACAGATGGTTGTTTCAAAAACTCTAAGTCACAACCAAAAATAGTATGTGAAAAGGTAAGTCTTTACTAATTAACTCAAGATCACCCCCACCCACTACCTAGGTTGAAAAATGACCCTTTCAAAAGAAAAGAACAGTGGGTGGGGCCATGTTCTCTCTACTAGTCACTGACTGACACAGTACCTATGCATTTAAAAATTAGATTAATATTCATACATTCAATCTCCACCAACTGATAGAAGGTTCCTGAACACCATCTCTTGGGGAAGAAAAAAGAAATAGGTCATTCTGAAACCCATTATGTAGTATACCTTGCCCCAAGCTACAGGAGAGGCCATTCTACAGCCACAGCTAAAGAACACTGAGCATAGAAACAAGAGAGTAATGCATCTTACTGCCCAGAGGGTTCATCTCCAAATTCATTCCTGTCTTTCCTGCTATGTTTTGTTTTCTAAGAGCCTGGACACAGTATGACCCAATGAAAGCTCTTTTAAAATTCTAAATTTTGCCACTGTTTTCTGTAGGTAAACTTCCAATCCATGGTATTGGTCAAGGGATGGCAGGAGGGAGTGAGAAAACAGGAATACCTAGTTGAGGTTTTAATAGCTTAATGTATCTTGGAATTAAGGGGGAAGGAATGTACACCCTCAGTCCACCAAGTGCTCAAACAGGCAGGCTTACTGTAGTATTACACAGGACAGCAAAGGAAGGTTTCAGAAGGATAACAACTCCTCTACAAAACTCAAACAGCAGAACCAGGCTCCTGTTCCAGAATGGCTGAATAGGGACACTCCTGTTTACACATCATTCTCTTACTACCTAGACAGCAAATTCATCATACAGTGATCTTATCCTCTTAAGTGTATTCTTAGACTCTTCAGTGTGTTCACAGGAATGTCAGTGGAAAGACTGGAATACCCCGAAACTGGTACCCACCATATGTCTGATTACAACCAGATTGGAGAAGGCTGGTCTAAAAGATAAAAAGTGCGCATATACTCTACATTTTGACTCTGCTACTCCCACACCCGCAAAAAATCCCAAGAAATGGAAATATCGCGCATGAGCGTTAGGATGTTTTGGAATTAAGTGGGAGCATCTCGAAGCTATATACTGGTATAACCTGAACTAAGCCCATCCATGGATGGGCCAAGTTTGAATTCCACTTCATCCGGGAATACTTCCATTGCTCCTTCGTGGTTACTCCTAGAACAGGAGGCATCTGCGATACAACCCTGGATCTCCTCGTCATTTTGAACCTTTGCTAATTGGGAAACGGGACCAGCAAACCAGACAACGCAAGCTGACTAAAACAAATGTTTATAAACAAAACAAAAAAAGGATACCGTAAGCAACACATCTAGTAATAAACCCGCCACGGTGGTTGACATTTTAACGGTTCCCTCTTATCCTATTCAACCATAGCGCCCCGCCCCCGAAACTTTATCCGAAAAACTTGCTGAAGAAAGGTAACAAGCGAGGCGACTTTCTTTGCCGTATAGAATAGATGCAGGGGGTCGACGCGGCCTCCTTCTCCCCCACCCCAAGACCCCTGTGCGAATAAGGCGGGATAAACGCTCTAAGATGGCGGCGGCGGCGAGCGCGCCCGCCCGGCCGCCCGCCGTTGCTATCCACGAATGACTCGAAGCAGAAGATCGAAGCGCCGCTCCAACGACCCGCGCGAATCAAGAGGGCTGCAGCGGCTCGCGCCCCGCAGCCAATGAGCTGCGCCGTCTCGCCTAGTCAGCGGACTTCCCCGCGCGGGAGGTGGCGCGCGATGCTTCCCCCTCCCCCTCCCAGTACCTTTCCAAAATGAGCGGCCCAGTGGATGGGCGTCCACCCGTAGAAGGAATCCTCGGCTGCCAAGGTTTCGCGGGACGCGCCCTGGAGCAGAGCGCACAACACCGACAAGTCGCCGTCGCGGCAGGCGCGGTGCAGCGGGAAGCGCAGGCTCAGCAGCTCTTCGCTGGAAAAGCCTGCCTCCGGGCCGGATCCCAGCGACATGGCGGCAGCACGGAATGCCGGACGGAGATCAGACGGCGCTCCAGGGAAAACGACCGTTTCCCAGTCGAGCTCGAAGCTCCCAACTGCCTCCACGCCGCCTCAGCTGCCGAACACAAAGAAACCGGGGCGGGGCTGACGAGACTCCGCCCCCGCGAGGGGCGGGGCGGCGAGCGCTCCGCCAGGCCCGAGCCGGGAATGCGGCTGGCCGGTCCCTGGGCGTGGCGCTGGAGGCGGGCCGAAAAGATTTCCAAAAAGGCGCTCGAGCGGCCGCTCTCGGTTGCTGGCCGAGCTTGAGTCCGCCGCCCGCCCGCCCTTGGTTTTCATGATCCCGTCCGGTGCGTAATCTTCCCCTTTCTTCTCCTCCCAACAATCCCTGATTAGAGCAGCCTTTTCCATCGGGTGCCTCCCAGATGTCTCGGATTACAACTCCCATCATCCTTTGTGTGAACAGAGCGGTGGACTAGATGGATCTTGGAGCTGATCAGCATGGATTTTGCGATGTTTTTGTTTGCTCCGACACATCCGGAGAGCATAGGGCTGGGGAAGGCCGACTTGTAGCAGGCAAGAGTGCCTAAGGCCTTCCAGTCTGGAAGTCACTCCCACCATCATGGCTTGAAACTTGCCTAAGGTTGCAACCTTGGGAGTAAGCCAGCCTTGAATGCACTGGCCATGGCTTCCCAGTAAACATGCAGAGGATGTATGGGGCTGCTCGCTGATGTTGCTGCGTGGAGCCAACTCAGCTCTGACTTATGGTGGCTCTGTGAATGAAAGCCCTCCAAAATGATCTGTCTACCACAGCCCCGCTCAACTCAATTTCAAGGCTGTGGCTTCCTTTACAGATTCAGTCCATCTCATATTTGATTTTCTTTTTTAACGTCTACCTTTGATTTTCCCTACCATGATTGTATTCTTCAGGGAGTCTTGCCTTCACATGATGTCTCCAAAGTATGACAGCCTGAGTTTTGTCATTTTTGCTTCAAGGGAAAGCTCTAGATTGATAAGATCTAGGACCCACTGATGGGGAGTTGCAGGGCCGCATTGCAGAAAAGTGCATTCACTGGTGCTCTGTCCTAAGAAAATGTGTACATAGTAGCAGCCACACCATGAAATAACAAGCATGTCTTCTCAGAAATAAAGTTCAATGGGGCTTACTAAGGTGGCAAACAGCTGCTCATAAATGACAGCTGCCATTTATTTATTTATTTATTTATTTATTTACTCACATATTTATATGCTGTCTCTAACTGCCAGAATGGCCTCCTAGGTGACTCACACAATAAAATTGAACACCAGGAGGATGTAAAAAGGAGTTCAATGGAGCATACTCCTGAGTAGAGATGATTCCATATAAGTGGCTCCTAGCACTACTAATCAAAACAATTGTGCAGCTATTCTGTCTTTCCTTAACAGATTCTCTGTGATAAGAACAGCAATAGAAGAAGAGTGGGAAAACACAAGAGGGTTACATGTGAAAGACTTCTGCCCTTCTAATAAAATACCATGAATGAGGCAGGGAGATTGTACAATAAAGGTATAATCTGGAAGGACCCTGAATGTATTTTGGATTCCAGTCGTGTTGTTCAAGCTTTGTATATGTTCCTGGCTAAGTGGTGAAAACAGATTATGGGAGACTGTATAAATAAGGAAATCATTATGGGACGCTAGTTGGAAAATGTTTTTCCCCAACTGTTTTCATAAACCTTTCTGTAGAAATAATTTACATGGACAGAGGAGGGCACAATATTTACATTTTTCTTTTGGGCTTTTTGCTATCAGAACATAGGCATCTATAGCTAGATACTTGGAAATATTATTTCCCCCTATTTCATAAAGTACATGCAATTATATCTTTGTTTTCTAATTTGTAATGTTCACTCCTTCATGTACTCCCCTCAAATATTTGTGAAATGGGTGGAGTGGAACAACTGTTCACACAAGGAGGCTATTCATTAAGTCCAACAGCCCTACCTTGGCCTCATTTCTGTAAAATGTGTCAGCTATCGGATGAAATCCTAATAATAATATTATTAATAATAATAATATGCAGTGGTCAGTATCAAAAGAGCTACTTTAGAAATATTTAAGGGCTTGGTGTACCTGGTAGGATTTTAAAAAACACCCTCTCCTTTCTTGCAACAGCATAATTCCATGCCATATGACAACATGTTTTTGAAAGATATCTCAGTTTTAAACAGTTTGCCATGGCCCATGGAGTGCTGTTAAAACCTCCTTTGACACCTGTAATTCATTGTGTGATTCTTTTTGGATCTTAATCTTTTTGAAAAAATTAAGGATACACTATAAATACGTTTTAATCTGAGTTGTTCCTAAGCCCCAAGCCCTTTAACAGAATTATTAATTTGGTGTACTGCATATTAAAATTGTACATCTTATTTTGAGATTATACACACACACACACACATATATATACAGGGATTTTATTTATATGCTTGCACAAGTTTTTAAGTCTGCATCTGCCTGGGCAAAAGCCAAGATTCTCATGGTTTCACCAGCTGGGTCTTTCCATCATGACACTCCAGATAAAATTGGAAAAGCTGGCAAGCTTATAGTAGTCACTGTTCATCTATAATGGAAAAGTTTCAACTGACTGATAGTCCTAGTTCTGAGATTACACTGACCTTAGAAAGGCCTGTAATTTTCCATGAAGAAAATCAAACTGTGTAGGGTTAAATGTATGTTTTTAAAAAGAAACTGCAAGAGAACAAATAATTCCAGTAATGTACACAACAGCAAGGAACCCCATGCTCTGTTCCAGCCCTGCTTTCACAAGATTCTGTGCTGGAATATATGAAAAGGCAAAGGTGCCTGCGCATAACTCTGCCGATAAGTACCCCAGGAAGTTCATGCACTAATACATGGGAATGTTATGAGTTCCAATTATGGTGTGCAGCAAAATATAACCCCTCTAATTTAGAAATGAAACATCGGAAATACTTCAGACTTTATTCCAGTGATAATTGGTTCGTGCAACAAGGCAAGACATTTTAATGTGTATGTGTTTATTTTTGTTGTACTAAATGCCAGAAAAATATGAAAGAAATCTCTGAGTAGATGGGAGGGCACAGTGAACATATGCAAAGCACTCTGGACTTACCACATTTTCCTGATATAAACACACTGTATGTACCTCAATATATGGAGATGTACTTCTGCCCTTCATATTTAACCAGGACCGGCACTGCAAATAGGAATGTACATGTGGCAAGCATTCTAAGCAGAATTAATTGTGATTCTGTCCCCAAGTTGTTATACAGTTGCATTAAAAAAACTGAATCTCAACTTAAAGAACTTAAGGGAAGTTTAGAAAAAAAATCATTTGTTGACATACAATTTGGTCTTTAAGATCTAAACATGGATTTAGTGAGATAAAAGAAAAGTACTAGAGGATAATATAGTCCTAGAACATCCATCATAGTAGTCAAGATTACAAGGAAACGGAAGTCTTGAAAAACTGGTCAAAGAGGAAGCTGCCTATAGATGAGATAGGGCACAAAACTCACATACTTGTTCCTTCTGTTCTGCTGGAAAGGGACAAATGGGTGGGTAAACAGACCAAGTTATCACAGAGCAGATTAAGCAAGAGTTAAAGAGCAAAACTGTGTTGTAGGACAATTAGGGCAGCCTGTAGTGTTAAAGCTTTCTGCCACTGCTGCAGAACTACCCAGTGAAGGATAATTACAGGTATCATTTCTGACCATACACAAGGCGTAGCAATATGGGTCAAGGGCTTGTCTAACAGGTTAACAAGTTTGTGTTATTCTTATGAGTGCCTCAAGTAAGTTAAGGCAAAACTAGGGGATCGTTCTGTATACTCATGAAGGTTGCATGCATATGAAAGTGGACAATGTCACTGGTTACTTCTGCTGAGGAGATGTTTTCAAGTGTTAAAAATGTTGATTCATCATGTTTGACACTAGCAAGCTACAAGGACACTATGGGATTGCTGCTGATCCAAATGGACAATTAACATACAGCAGTATCTACATACAGCAGAGTTCCAAAAGTATTTCCACTATCATTTCCCCTTCCCTTTCTGTCTTATTATTGCAGCATTAAATCAGCCATGAAAGAAGAAGCCACCTTTAGATGCCACCTTTAGATGCCACCTTCATGACTAGGTTTGCACAATCATGGCAAGAAAAGAGAGTGTCTACTATAGAATGGTATATAAAAACCCTAAATAAATGAATAAAATATTAAAATAAGAGCCACAGTGGCTTCTTTTCCCCACCTCCCATGCAGTTTGCTTGATTACCCTTGTAATGCCTTGCCTCCCACATCATTCAGATCTGGTGAGGTGTGCGTCAGGGTTAGGGTCAGGGTCATCAGGAGAGGCTTTAAAACCACTCTAGAACCCATGGTTTGTTGTAGAGTCTGGGGGGGGGGGGGTTAGGTCACTTCCCAATGCCCATCTTGCTGTGTTTGAATGACATGGGGAGCCTTGTCTGGCAAGGGTAATTAGGCAAATTGGATGTTGCGCGTCTGCCCTGGGGTGGTGGTGCTGTGAGGGCTTCTTTCCCCCATGTGATTGTTCAGCCATTGACCCTTAAAAAGCCAGGCATTCAGACTTGCTAGGGACATATAGGGGTGCCAACTGTTTATCTGATTGTGTACCTGTGTCTTTAACCTCAACTTGACAAGTAGAAATTAGCAAGTATTACTGTTTTAACCCCTTCATGGATCACTGCCTTGCCATGGTGAAAGGACTTGTGTA